AGTACATAATAGTTCCTGCTTCAGAATAATAGCAAGTTAACATGTATATTGCTTACTATGTGCCAGACACTCTTACAAATGCTTTACATATACGGCTTTTGAAGATCGGCAGTGTAGATTCAGAATTCAGATTTAACCACTCCAACACATGGCCTCTTCCTTAACAATGGACTACTTCCATCCATTTGCGATGAATGGAATAGTCACAAGATGAAAGTTTTGATTTAATCCTAAAGACAAGGCATGATGACAACCATGCCTTCAGCATAATACATACTGATTAATTAAACTTAATTCAATTGTAAAGCCTGGTCTAACACTACTCCCCTCCCCTCAGTATACTCCTGTCATTTCCTTTATATTCTCAGATAACATAGTGCACTACAAAATCCCTTAAAACAAGGACTGTATATGATTCATTTTTATTCGCAAGGTCTGGTACATAGTTAAGTGCCCGAAAAACATTTCTTGAACAAGTATCTCCAAATACGCTGGGGCTTGCAAGAATAATTCTGGGGTTCATATTTCAGAATCCATTAATCAATGAATCCATTATGAGGTTTTGCCAGAAACTCAATGTACCAAGGGTAAGTTCCAACAAGACCCACAAATTTTACTTTAGATTTAGGTAGATCAGTTTTAATGGCGCCCTGGTGTAATGTTAAAACTATAAAGCACTATAGAATTAAATCTATTGTTGCAAGAAACAAATATAATAGAAAGCATTGCCCACACATAGGAAAAAACATATTACATTAAAGTTATAGAATTAGATATGTATATTAAAACTTAGTAATCAAACCCTGAGTTTGGTTTTAATAGAAAATTCCTTTACATGCACTCCATTTTAACACAATCGCAAATAATATATACTCATCCCAACCACAACAGTTCAAGCCTGTGTTCACTCATTATACTTCATATGAACCTTTTAAGTGCTTATTTCATTATACTGTAATGATCTGTTTACATGACTCTATTAGACTGCAGGCTCTCTGAAGGTAAACTGTCATTTACTTTTGTATCTCAGTACTGGTAGTAAATAAATTCTCAAACATTTGTCAAATGACTTATGTAGTATTTTTGTGTCCGTAAATAATCCTGTGAACAATTTTACAGAAGAAAATTAAGTTTAGAAGTTATGTAACTTGGCTGAGATTACAAAGCAAGTAGATAAATGAAATAAGAATTCAAATCCAGGTCTTCAGTTAAAACTTTCTATGCCCTTTATATCATACCACACATATCACCTCAAGTAAATAACTACAAATTGTGCAAGAGCTACATACCTTAGTAGTTGCCTATAGTTAAAAAGCAACAACTCATAAAAATGAAGCACGAAAAATTACAATAGTAAAGGTCCCTTAAAAATGAGATCTTTAACTGTCATACCAAATTATTATTACTGTCTCAACAGAATACTGCTATAAGTATTGAAGAAAAAATTTTACCTTGTACTTCTTTATCATGATGCTCCTTCAGTTTTGTCCAGAGATCCTTGAAGTCATTAGATATATCTGCAGAACTAGGGCTTCCACAACTGCTTCCAGAGATGTTCATTTTGCTTAATATACTCCACACTTCTATGTGCCTAATGTTTTCTGATCTTTTCTTTTACATTATATATGTATAAAGTTGTCTTTAGACAGTTGAAATACCTGAAATGACAGACAGCAACATAAATAAATTCTGCATTTACCTTTGTGTAATTTGAAGTCAGGATGACTTCAGCTCCAGCGAGCTGTTCTCAAGTTTTCCTTATTTACCTGAGACTGGAAGAAGGGGCCTGACGTCCCAGGTACCATCAATGATTTTGATAATTTGGGTGGTGGGAAGTGAGGAAATATGATAATGCTGAGATAAGCCCTGACTTCAGTAATCTGGACTTTTGTTAACCTAAATTTTCAGGCAAATTGTCTCTTATTCCTCTTAGAAGGAAATAATTACCTAAATTAAAATTTAAATCGAAAGGATTCTGATATAGAGAAGTTTGTAATCATTCATGGTCAGTATTGATTCACCATTCGGAAAGAATTTACTGCTTTTTAAACCTTTGAGTTGATAGAGTACAACAATACATTGAACCAAAAACTGAAAAACATTCTGAAATATTCTTGACTTAATGTATATACATCCATACCTACAGACACACATTATAAAGAGCAAGAAAGATGACTGATGTATTAACACATGAGTATCTTAACACCTTTCTCATAATAAGAGCAATCAGTGAGCAATATACAGACACAGCAAAGATCTATGAATACAGAAACATCTAATAACAAGGCAACTAGGGTAAAGGTATTTTGTGCCCCTTTCAGAGTAAAGGTAAATAATTAAGTTTATTATATGCATAGCCCTGAAGGAAGCAACAGGCTATTAAGTTCAGGTGAATTAATAAATACTTTCACGTGTTCTTAAACTGAAACCATTAACTAGCTACCATCAAAAAAGTAAAATGATTAACAAGTCTACTAAACCTCACACCTGGCTCCTTAGCCTTACTATAGCTAACAAGTGCCCAAACTGATTTAAATGTCTCTTGCTAACTATTTCTTGAGGTTTTTGATAGAGATTAAAATAAGCAGTGATATTTCTAAAAAAGATTATGTGTGAAGTCACTTGGTAAACTGTAAAGCCCTACAAAATTAAAAACACTTTTATTAAGCTTTCAAAAACTGTGATCATACTTTTTTGAGATAATCAATGAAAACCAAACATGTACAGGATTTTAGATATTAGAGAATTATTTCTAATTTCCTTGGGTATAATGAAGTGGTTATATTAAAAAAAATAAAAGGTCCTTTATCTCTTAAAGAGATATATAAAGATACTGAGGTGTTTACAGGTAAACTGACATGTTCTCTGAGATCTGCTTTAAAATACTCCAGCTGAAACAAACAAAAAGTTGATGTTGGGTAGAAACATGAAACAAGTGCTGAACTTTGATAATTATTAGCTGGGCAATGGATGGGTACATGAGGAGGTTCATAATTCTAGTGTCTCCCTCATCATTTATTAAGTGTTCACTATATACCAAGGATCGTGTCTTTTTAAATTTTATTTTATTATTAGTTTCAACTATATAGTACATTGTTTAGATATTTATGTAGTTTGTGAAATGATCCCCCTGATTTCGCTTTCTCTCTTCTGGATCTACACCTAGCTAAGGATCATGTTTTTTATTCATTTTTAATCTAATCTTCAGAACACCTCCATAAAACAGCTACTATTATTAATTTAATTTTGGAGATGGAGAACCAGGTTTAACAGATTGACTCGCCAAGGTCACATTGCTACGACACGGCTTTGTCACGGCTAGAACTCAAGTTGTGTTGCCAATTAACTACAAAATACTACTAAGTAGACAAAAAAAGGTAAAATAATTATTTCTATTAAGTAAATAGTGTAAAACAGAGTTTTAGTTACTTTAATGAATTAAAAAATGGATAGTGTTAAATGATTTAAAATCAATAGTGTAAAAAGTGTCCCTTAAGAAATATATCTTTAGAGGCAGTAAAAAAATTCTCCTCACATAGAAACAAAATATCAATACTAAACTTGCCAATTCTGGCTCACAAAACCATCTCCTACCTATCCTGCAGGCCTAGCACTTTTTCTTGGCATCTCTTTTGGCAATGAACCGTTATTCGCTGCACGATGTTGCGCTTTATTATCTCAGGAATGTGCATCTTGCCTCTGAAGTTGCATTCTGGGCTCAAAAGTCTATAGTAATATAATACCTGTCTGTACATCCTGTGACAGCATAAATCATCACACTGAAGGTGCTCAATAAAATATTTCTCTCCTGTCACCTCATACGTATTCTCACAAAGGTTAAGGCAAGAGCCGCGCCTCCAGTAAAAGGAGCTCTAAACAGCCTGGGACTTTGAGCGGTTCTCTTACTAGCAAAGCAGAAGTCCAAGGCTCCCATCCCCGGACCTTAGGCCATCAGCCTCTCCTTCCGCAAACGCTCCACAAGCTAACTTTTGGAGTGGTGCGGAAAGAGCAAGGGGAGCCCCCGCGCAGGGCGGCAGGGGACGCATGCGCGGAGCGGCTGGGCGTTGGCAGGCATTCCTCAGCCTGCGCGGGAAACCAAAAAACTGCACTGGCCAGGAACCTGTTTTCCCTCCTGTCCAGCCACGTTTAGGCTGGCCCCAGCCTACTTCCTCAGACTCAGCGCCAGAGCCTTACGGCCACCCCCACCCCGGGGGCCAAACGCCTTCGGTCAGCGCGCAACTTCAGACCGGAAGTGGCCCCTGTGACCCAGCGCTCCGGGTTGGGGAAAGAGGTTCCTCTTACTTACGGCTTCCAAGATTGCCTCGAGATTCTTGAAAACTCCGGTAAGGAAGCGGGCTCGCTCCGGGGCTGTGAAGAGACGGCGCGCTTTTCTTCTCTTTCTCTCACTAATCTGCCAAAGCCTAGCGGGAAAGCCAACGCCTCAGGGCAGCCTGCATTTTCCTAAGATGAGGGAGGTCCCGAAAACCGCCTTCCAGGGTCGGAGGCGGCCGGACCGGCCCCGCCTGGAGCCCGTGCGACGTCACGCGGGACTTTCTGGGACGTCACGCCCTTCCTCTGCTCTCAGAGTGAGGCGGCTCCCCTCACGCAAGAGCGGGTTCGGCGGTGTGTCAAACCGCGTTGGACAGTGAAGGGATCGTGGAGCGCCACCTCTGAGCGGTCGGGAGTGGCGCCAAGAGCTGGCGACCTGCACAGCGTTTTGAGATGCCTGGGAGAAAGATCAAGCCGTTATGTCTTCGGAAGTTTCAGTTCCTTGGTGTTACGGGAAAGTTATTGATGTGTCTGACTTAAGCACATTTCTGAGAAAGCATATGAGTGGCTTGTACCAAAGAGAAAGTTAAAATTAACGTGTGAGGGAATGGACACGGATCAATCTAAGGTAGTTCTCTGCCTTGTAGCTATTACCTGCAGTTCAGTGATGTGTCTTGACAAGACTGGGCAGTGAGGCCATATGACAAAACGATGTATATTTTTCTTTGGTTAAATGGAAAGTTTCTGGAAAACCTGAAATGAAAGGGAATCAGAAGTGACCAGCATTATTTGTTGGAACAACACGCTGTTGGTAACATTTTAAAAAATTTTTTAAAATAAATTTAATAAGAATTTATACGTAGCAACTCAATTTTTTATTCTGTATTTTCCTGTATTACCCTAATAGGTCATGTCCTTAGACTACAACTATTGATCAATCAACATATGTAAACCAGGAACACAGTCATCTTGTAAATATCGATTCCAGATTGCAAGTACATTTCTGATGGTTCTAGCTTATTTTGTTTCTTCTTGCACTTGAATCAACAGAAAGCAATACTTTTGAAAAGGTTGATAGCTTGTAATTTTGTTGAAGAGAGGATAGCCACCTTCTAAACTGAAACACTTTCATTTTAGATTTATAAACACCAATTAGAATTAGCAACTCGTACACATTAAACTTACACAATGCTATATGTCAATTATATCTCAAAAAGCTGTGTGTGTGGGGGGGGAGTGGTAGAATTAGCAATTTAGTGAATTTCATCTCTACCTCATGAATTTCCTTCCAGTCATCTTTGTATATTCATTGCTTTTAGTACTTGTTGACTTACAAACTATATCAAGTATATTTTATGCAAAACATCCTAAAAGATGACAGAACACACTTTTTTAGGACAGCTCAGGTTCTTGTTGCAAAATACTGAATAATTAAGTCATTCCTGTTAAATGGCTAACTGGATAAGAATACCATATTTCCTTTTTATTTTTAGATATATATTGTTGAATCATTGATTCTTGAGTTTGAGAAAATTTGTGTAGGTTATTATTATCTAAAGACTCATTGTCTGCAATTTCCCTTTTATGATAAATTTCACCGTCATTAATATCTAGAGTTTTTCACTTTGATAAATTTCATTGTCATCATTAATATCTAGAGTACTGTATTTTTGCATTTATCTTCTGATTTTTCTAATACTTTTGAAGTGTTTTCCTCTATTAATTTTTTTCTTTGCCATTATGAGAAGAAAATGAAATTTCCGAATTCTCATTAGTGATTAAACGAAAGCTTTAATAAAACTACAGAGATAATGTCGCCAGATTTTTTTATACCTTCTTAAAAGATGATGCAGTACTTTGGGCAATACAATAAGATAACAGAAGGATGATGTAATAATGATGGTTTACTATTGAATCAACATTTTAGGGGATTCAGAATTTTTCTGTTTTATTATTTTTTGTCTTTCCCTCATGTAGCATAGATGGGAATAACTGTTGGGTAATGTTGAAATAATTTCTGGGATGATGATATAGCAAAATGCTTAAAGCTAGAGGAAATTAAGATCACTAAGCTTTCATAAGTTATGAAAGGGTCCAATGGCCTCACATGATAATTGCATAATAGAATGAGTTTTATTACACGTTTTTTTAAGTGCATGTATTTTTTGTTCTTTGGGGAAAAAAGTCCAAGAAAGAATAAGTCATGAAATATTTACCTTTATAAATAATTAGAACCTCTTAGAAAAGCAACTCAAAATCTAAAATTGGATCCAATGGATTCTGATGGTACAAGAGTTAATCTATAAATTGATTCTTTGATATTTCAAATTGATATTTGATATATCAATCCACTTGATAATCTCATCATAGCAATCAATGACCTCCATGGTGTTGAAATCAAGGGATATTTTGATATTTTCCTGTCTTTGTGATTACAATTGACTACTTCCTCCTTTTTGAACCCTCAATCTTTGGTACTGTAGGCATCTAGTTTTAACAACTTACTAGCTACTCCCTCAGTCTCCTCTGGAGGTTCTTCTTCTCTCCAGCCTTTAAAATATGAATTTCCTCAGGGTTTTTCTTTTCTCTCCCCTACTCTTCTCATCCATACCCTTCCACTCCCTCAATAACCCATCTATGCCTGTGATGTTAAATGCCATGTATATGTTAATGACACAGCCTTTCACCTCTGATCCTGACCTCTCTTCTAGATTTTTATAACTAGCTATCTATTTGATATGTCCAATGGATATCTTACAGTCACTCCATATTGAATTCATGATCTTTGCTTGTTCCAAATCCTGCTCCCCTTGTTATTTTCTCCATCTTAGTAAATAACACCTTCCTCTAACAGTGATCCCTAACTTTTTGGCATCAGGGACCGGTGCTCCTATGAGAATCTAATGTCTGATGATCTGAGGTGGAGCTGAGGTGGTGATGCTAGCACTGGGGAGGGGCTGCAAATACAGATGAAGCTTCACTCACTCACCTGCCACTCACCTCCTGCTGTGTGGCCCGATTCCTAACAGGCCACGGGACCAGTACCAGTCTTTGGCCTGGGGGTTGGGGACCTCTGTTCCAACATATTTGTTTTAAACAGACCCTTTTTTATTCCTCTCATCATCCAAAATATTTCTCACATCCTTTTATCTCCCTATCCATTGCCATCACCATAGTCCAAGCCACCATTATTCCCTGCCTGGACTTCTTCAGTAGTCGTAATTGGTTACTTTCTTGCCCAGTCTCCAATCTATTCTATTGTGCAGTCACATTCGGAATCATTTTAAAATGTAAATTGTTTCATATCACTTTTTTGAATAAAACTTCTTAGTAGCTTCCCATTGCACTTATTAAAATCCAAAATTATTAGTATGGCCTACAAAGTTCTATGATTAGATTCCTCCCTCCCTCCTTCTCTAAACTCATCTCATAACACTCTCCCACTTACTTGCTATCCTCCAGCCACACTGGTGTGCTTTCAGTTCTTCTACCAGGACTTCAATGCCAGGAATACCTCCACCCCACAACTTTTTGTCTGATTGATTCCTACTTATCTTTCAGTTTTCTATTTAATGTACACATTGACTGCCTGACTCTTACAATCTCTATTCTTAATTAAGGACCCCACCTCCCTCGAGGCAGTGTTTCTATTATAGCAGCCTTTTCTATTCTTTTAAAGCTCTTAAAATTTATAATTAACCAATAAATAGATATAACACCTTTGTCTCCTACTGGACATATATATCCCTTCAGGTCAGGGACTATGTCTGTCTTGTTGACTAATATGCCTGGCACATGGTACCTTCTTAAATGTATTTGTTGAATGAATGAGTCAATGAATGAATGAAGTTCACAGTCCATACTGCATGTAAATTCTAGACCCTCGTAAAATAATTCTCTGTAGTAATTGCCAGATAAAGAAGACTTCTTGAACTTTTTCCACTCCCAAAGTAGGAGGAAGAAGAAGTCAGTGATAGTCAGCCATAAGTCCCTATTCGTACATGGAGCTCAGACTTTTGTTACTATTTCCTGGCTTAATTTTGAAACCCTTTTGCCTGATCATCACCTAATTAGTTCTGAAGAGAATCCTTCCCTAGCTATGAATTTTGTCTTTCTGAATCACCTAACATTTAATAGGACTATATGCTTTCTCTCTCATCAACCCCTTATGGCATTGGGACTTCAGCCACACCAGGCCCAGTGCTGCCACCTTGAGGGCTGAGATTTTACTGTCTCAGCATACCTAAAACCCTTTGGAGTCCCCTGGTTAGGATGCTTGTTTAAAACTTGTGTGGCGAAATGGTTAAAATGGTAAACTTTATATTACGTACATTTAACCACAATAAGAAAAATTATGTGGTAGCAGTAAAAATTCTAGAATTTTTATAACTGTAGAATTTTAGAACTATGTAGATTTTAAAATCATTTAACTTAAGCCATTTTACAACTGAAACTCTTTGTTAATTCTACAATCTGCTTAACTCCTACAGCTGGATAGCTGAGGGTTGTGAAAGGAAAATCACATAACAGGTTAGTGTGATATCACTAAAATTACATGGTTTCAAACCTCATGTAGAGTATCAATTAATCACTAAAATAACCTTTATCCAGCAGCTTCTGTTTCTTTGCTGTCTTCCAAATCTTCACTATTTTCCTCAAGCTTTTGTGCAGTATTCTCACTCTCAGCAGACACCTTAGCCTCCTGTTTATAGAAGACAATTGGGCTCAACAGGTATGATCTTCCCGAACTTCCCTTTTTCTTTCTCAACCCCGTGATTTAGGCAATATTATTTTGCAGGTAAAAGTGCATCCTGAATCTCATTGCTTCTCACCGCCTTTTTTGCACCCACCCTGAGCCAAGCCATCATCATCAAACATCTTCTGCAGCAATAGGTCTTCTGCAGCAATAGCCTCCTTTAAAAAAAAAAAATCAACTATCTTTCTACTTTCACAGTTTTCCCTTGCAGTGTGTATTCTTCAACATCAGTCAGAGCAAGTGCTTTAAAACCTAAGTCAGTACATGCTGCTCCCCTGCTCAAAACATTCCAGTATCTTCCCAACACCTTAGAATAAAACGAAACCCCTTTTCATGGAGTAAGGACAAATCAATCGCTATATTCTATTGATGTTACCACCTAAATATAGTTTTGAATTAGTGCTTTCCTTTCCATCCTTGATCTTGTTGCTCTTGGACTACAGCCTTCCTGCTTCAAGCCTTTTTCACCACACAGCTGCTAGAGATTTAAATTATTATTTCTGATCCTGTCACTCCCTTGCTTAAAACCCTTCAGTGGCTCTCCATTGCCTAAAAGTTAAAGTTCAATA